TGGAAAAAAGATTTAGAATTAAATCTGCTTTCCATTACTGGGATGTTTTTGAATGAATTGAAGGGAGACTGATGTAAATAATAGGATTTGCAATTATAAGTATACAAAATGTATAATAAAATGGACCATGTTCTAATTTCCACTTCAGAAGTGAAAACTTTAGAAATATTTTCCATTATTTCTATTGGGGGTCAAAACAAACTCTTTTGATTTTTTAAGTCTGTTGTTGAGTATACACTCGAGATAAATAACAAAGATATTGTTATATTCCATTTTCAGGAAAAGAATCAGAAGAAAATAGCCTATTAAAAGAGACTTTAAGTCTGTGTTTTTTGGTAAATTTTTAGCTGTCTTATGTTAAGATGGAATCCATTTGTGAATGGTAACTTATTAAACATGCATCTTTCAATTACTTGTACTTCCTTTTTAAAATCTCTTTTATCTGTAGTCCTTCATAATATTCACTTAGAACATACCATTTTTAAAATCTAACACGCTACTGGTATACTTTTGTTTTGAAATTGTGTTTTAAAGGTTATATATATCAGTTGTAGATTTGTTCAGTTCCAAACTTAATATTTTTGCCTTTAAATAAGATCTATTATAATTAACTAAAAAATTTTCATGGGGAGGAAAATGGACATTATAGTCTTACAAGAAGTTATATTAATGAATTGACACGACATCAAGGAATAGTCAATTATAAACTATTTTAATTTTACATTAAAAGGTTTGAAACAGCCTATAACCAAAAAAAATTATAAAAGAAATATAACTAATTGTGTAGTGAGGAACTAAATAATCAGATATAACTTTGCCATAAAGCAGATTTACAGAATAATAATGATTTAATAAGATGAATGATGAAGACCATATTTTCAAAGTTTCTTAAAATCTATCACTTTTCAACATTGTAGAAGATGGTTAGAATCACAAATGAAAGCAGTGGGAAATTTGGAGGACTTAATGATACTTCAGAAATTATTCTAAATATGATCGAACTAATATAATGGTCTTTAAAAAACAAAAAATAACATTTTAAATTCCTTATTGTTTAAGATTCTGACAGACTGTGCTGTCTCCTTTCTCTGGGACAGATCAGACTGATTCTTTTTATATCAATAAAATGGAAATTTCAGGACACCAAGAAACAGAGACCCACCAATGCATTTCATTGTTCCTTTATTTTCTGCCAATTCTAATGTATAGAGCTATGTATATGTGTTCTGTAACTTCTCAGTCTCCCAGGGCACTTTTAACACACTTTCACTGATGTCGTAGCCAGAATCAGACCTAGATTTAAGAGAATTTTTTTTTAAAGATTTATTTATTTATGCATACAAGAACTGGGGTGTAGACCAGAGGTGCCAGGGGTGAGAGGATTCACTAGAGAGTGTGGGGAGCAGAACAGACAGATCCACTGAAACATACTGCTGAGAGGAGCAGTAGGCAAGAGAGGAAGAGCAGCGGGCGAGACTGGAGAGGTCTGCTGCACCGTGGGTTGCTACCTGGCCAACTGGGGATCCAACTTGTGCTGCAGTGGTTGGCAATAGCCTGATAGCATTGTGTCTTTAACCCCTGTGCCACCAGGGAGGACCCAAAAGCATAATTTTTTAAAGCTCCTTGTTTTTAAGCTAATTTATTCATTTGTTTTTTTTAAATAAAGCATTTGACCTCATAGGGGTTACTTGATGAAATAAACAACAATATCATTTCAAAAGATAGCATTAAAGTCTGGAAAGCACAATTATTTCATGACTCTTAATTCTTAACTCCTGAATATTTTAACTAATAGTGGGAAGTGGATTAAAGTAATGAAAATCTGGTTGCTAGAACATGAGAAAGATGAGGTGTTATTTTCATGAATGAAAAGAAAAAGGCCCAAATAACAGTCCATTAAATATCTTGGTTTTTCTCAGAACAATTTGAAATGGAGTTACAAATAAATGGTATTAAATGGTATTATATTTTCATGCTGATCTTCCAGATTAATGTGAATATACTTAGTGAAAGTTGATTTTATTCTTTAGACAAATAATTTTTACTCTGAGCCTTGTTTCCTCAAGTGTTGACCATGTTTGACTGGATGTGCTCATTTCCTTTCATTACATTTGACTGTGTTCTGTCTTCATGAGCTAGTGCATTCTTCTCTGAAAATTGTCTTTGGGGCCTCCCTGGAGGCGCAAGGGGTTAAGATGCAGCATTATGAAGCTATCCACAGCCACTGCAGCATGAGTTTGATCCCCAGCTAGGGAGGTGACCCGCATGGTGCAGCAGACCTCCCCTGAAAATTGTCTTTATATGTTTTTAAATTTTTTTTCCTATATTTTATCTTTATTTTTCTTTTGCTTATATATAAGACATTTATTCTTTTTTCTTGTTTTCCATAATATTCAAAAACTTCATGATTAAACATTTAACTACATAAATTGATTACATATCAAGAAATCTGCATTATGTGAAAGGATTTTATTTATTTATTTTTGCTACTTGAACTTTATGATAAATTTAAAATTAAATGCTAAGTGACCACAGAGTACAAAGAAAATTTAAAACAAAAAAACAAAAACAGCAGCATAAGAGAAATATATTTATTACTAACTGAAAACATGAGTCAAACTAATAATTTATTATGAGTTAGCTATGATAATGGCTTTATTCCTTTAAAATTGTTAAGTTTTAAATATAAAGTATTAACTTTCAGTTATTTGTTTTTTTCTGGAATTTTATGGCTGTAGTAGAGGATGACTTACTTAAAAAAATGGGTCTATAAATGCTTATTAGAACTTTTCTGTAAAGAATAATTGCATGTGTCTTGTTTTCTCTAATTTTCCCCCCATTTAACTGTGCAAAGTACTCAGTATTTCCCTTCTTTCCATACATGTTGCTTATTTTGTTCAGATGAATAAAAGGGTAAGTCATATAGGTAAATTCATAGTAAATTAGCTGCTATATGAATTTCTGCCCCTTGTTACATAGAACACTGTTCTCTGAGTGCATCCCTTTAGAATGTTAAGAATATATGGACAGAGATTGCCATTTAAACTATACCCTTACAAAGAAATCTCCTTGGGAAAAAAAATAAGCAAAATATTGTGCCTATACCTTTCCTATGTGCATGAGTGAGGCCAGTAGGTGGGCTTCCCTGGACTGTCATCAGACAAGGACAAGTTTCTTTGTTGGAGACTCCCTCACACCAGTCCTGAAGATCTTTTCTGTGAGGGTGGTTATTCCTGGGACTCCAGAGAAATCCCATGATCTCTGGCATGGAAAGTGGTGGGAGGAGTATAGGGGTGACTGCCCAGCTGTTGCATACAAGTAGCCTGGGAGGAGGTCTAGGGGCTGCAATTTAGGGCGGGTGTGGGGTGTGTACTTTGGGCTTGAGGGTTGAGGAGGGAAGGGTGCATCTCAATCTTACAGAACAATGTCTTTCCCCTCCCTCCATTGTCCCTGCATTCAGGCTACCTGGTTTAACCAGAACGGAAAGTAAATCCTCCCTATTCCGATAGGGTGGGAGAAACACTCTCCCCCTGGGTGCTCATGGTTTAGGTGAGGATCTGGTGTCAGCCCATCACTTCTACCCTTGCCTTTCAAGTAGCTGGTGCCTCCAATCCTGCACCTGTTAGGAGAACTTTATTGTACTTAGCCAGCTGCTTGTCGAATTTCCCTCTGTCCCTATTTTGTTACTCAGTTTCAGCAGTTTGCCAGCTCTCCTGCATGCTTTTTATCATCCACAAACTTGTTGACATTTCATGCCAGATGTTTTCTCCCCTCCCTTTTTCTCAACCTTGTTAATTCATAGCTTTTATATTTTTCTTGACTCCTTTTTTAGTTGGAGGGTGTGAGACAGCCAATAAATTCATGAATAAATCCATCCAACAAAAATTCCTTAACTCCAACTCCTTCTTAATACTTATTTGTGGGCCTCCTTGGGGCGTAGGGGGTTAGGTGTCAGCACTATGAGGCTATCAGCAGCCACTGCAGCAGTAGTTCGATCCCCAGCCAGATAGCTGACCCACATGGCACAGCAGACCTCCCCTCAGCAGTGTATTTCAGTGGATCCACCTGTTCTGCTCCCTACTCTGTCTCTGGTGAATCCTCTCACCTTCCACACTTCTGGCCTGCACCCCAGCTCCTGTATGCATAAATAAATAAATCTTTTAAAAAATACTTATTTGCAAAAATACACTTAGCCCATTGCTTTCCCCCTGAGAAGGAAAAGCATAAAGGAGGAAATCAGTTCCCACAAGCAGACTACAGTTTTCTGACAATTAAATCACTTTTCCCCTTTAATCTCCCTGGGGAATATTTTCTGTAGTGGCAACTACTAAATTTTTATGTGGGTCACCTTAATAATTTGTATATTGAGGATATAACAATTATGATCTTTCCCTTCAAAAGTTTTATTTATTTATTTATACAAGCACTGGGTATAGTCAGAAGCACGGGAGGGTGAGAGAATTCACCAGAGCCAGAGCGGGGAGCAGAATAGGCAGAAGGACCGAAGTACACTGCTGAGGGGAGCAGCGGGCAGCAGGAGAGGTCTGTGTGCCATGTGGGACCCTCGCCCAGTGGCCAGGGATTGAACTGGCCCTGCAGAGGCTGCGGGCAGCTTCTCAACCTAGCGCTCAACCACTGTGCCACTGGGGAGGCCCTCAAAAGTTTTATTCTAATCAAAATAGCAGGGACAAAGGGAAGCACTTGGAGAAATATCAGTAAAAAACAGAGCAAATGATAATTCCATTACCTCAGTGCTAGAACATAGCAGGCACATAAGCAATGTTTATTGTGTGTATAAATGATACAATTAGTCTGTAACTATAGTGTGGGATACAGTGGAGGAAGTAATTAATTTTGTCTTGAAGGGTGGTGTGGGAAAGTATAGTTTTATATTTAATTACACATGGCTTTATGTGTAAGGAATTTATATTGTTTTTAATTTCTATTTTAAGATTTTCTTTTCTTTCCCAAATCATTGTCTTGCAGCGGCAGTTGTTTTATTCTGCCACAGCATAGTGCTAAGTGGATAGCTGCTGACCTATAGATGCTTGCTAATGCTGTCATCTCCGGGACTGCTTCTGCTATAATGCAACTGTCTCCTCTTCTGCCATGTTAACTTACGGGTTCTTTGGGGAAGAACATGAGTGGGGAAGAAATAAGTCACAGCCCTGTTCATGAATAAGAATGATGTTCACTGGAGAAGGCAAGTAGGGGTGTTACAGGACTTGGGTGCCGAATATGTTGCAGGGCAGGGAGAGGGGCACCCCAGACCCCACAAACCTCCCTACTCTAAATGGGTTCTGCCATCCGCCGCATCAACACAAAACATACGAGACTTTAATGGGAAGGAACTTTAATACAATTAGGAAACAATACAGGAAAGGCAAAGAATCTAGTTTCTAAATCAGGCACCCAAAATTACCCGTCCCCTTGTGGGTAAAAGTCCACCCAAGTAGGATTGGCCCAGACCAAGGCCCCAAAGCCTGCACAAGTCTAAAGCATCCTCCAGTGGGGACCCACAGAAAAGGATCAGAAACAACCAGACAAGCCTGGAAGGAAAAGAGCAAAATCAAAATCATGACAAAAACCGCCATTGTCACCTCCTCACGGGTCTCTCACCCACATCTGTGTCACCCAGTCCATGACCAAAAGGCAAGTGCAGTTTCATGTGTCTCTTGGCTCCATGTGCCTCCTCCAGGTCTCCTTCTGGCTCTCCATCCTGCTTCCTTCCTTCCTCAGTCTCCTCTGCAGCTTCTTCTCTCCCTGCTCAGCTCCACCCTCCTTTTGGGTGGGGCAGGGAACCTGGAACCTCCCCCTTTCCTGGAGACAATGCTATTACAGGAGGGCCTCCATACCTCTTAAAACCTGTTTGCTTGTGTATGGCAGGGATATATGAATGTAGTGAGAAGGAACACGGAGAATACAGATTAGAAACACAGATGTTCATAGTAGAAGGACCTCGGTTCAGTAGCCAGGTCTTCCACAAAAGTCAACCAGATGTAAGAATGTGTGAAGTAAAATATGTAGGTATTTTCCCCAGACTCTTTTTTTTTTGTTTTGTTTTTTTAATATTTATTTATTTATACGAGAACCAGGGTACAAGCCAGATGTGTGGGAGGGTGAGAGGATTCACCAGAGACAGAGTGAGGAACAGAACAGGCAGACTGACGAAATACACTGCTGAGGGGAGCAGTGGGCACAGCAGGAGAGGTCTTCGCGCCATGTGAGACCCTTGCCGGGCAGCCAGGAACCAACGGGCACTGCAGAGGCTGCAGACAGCTTCACAGCTCGGCACAACCACCTGCACCACCAGGGGAGGCCCTATTTTCCCCAGACTCTATGACTCTCTATAGTGAGCAATTTTTACATATTCTGAAAATTTGCATTGTATTTTACAATACTTCCCAAAGTGGCTATGTCTATTTATCACTGGTTCACGAATGTTTCTTTCATTCTGTGACTGTTTTTGTTGGCCCCAAGACTGAGAACTGCCTACTTTGGTAACATAGACCAAAAATTCTCTATTAAGTCCCCAAATTATTACTTCCCAAATTTTGCTAAACATTGAAATTACTTGGGAGTCTTTATTTTTTATACAAAATTATTTATTGGCTCAATTTTGGGGGTTACATTTTTGCTCTTCCATATGGGCAATTGTACCACTCACCCTCCACCAAACCACCAAGAGAATTTCCTCAGCCACTTAGACGAGAGATGGCTGGAACAGAATCTGAGCTCCTGGAGCAACTTGCTTCTGAACTCAACTCTGGTCTCAAAAAATTCAAAGTAGATTATAAATTCTTTTTCTTCTTGCAGTTCTTTCAGTGGGAAAAATGTCGATATTCAGTTTCATCCTTGTCACCACTGCTCTGGTAATGAGCGGGGAGATCTGGGTAAGCATACTACAAAAACTAGATTGTATTTATAATGCCTGCTCTGTCAGGAACTTTCTTTTCCTTTGCAGAAAACCTATAGTAATTTGTCACTGAAAAATCTTAACTAATAGGGGGGGAGGTGTAATGAAAAAGGTTTGTGGAAGCACCTAGCCCACATTAGGTACTTACCAGGTGCTTTACATTTTTCTAAGTCAAAATCAGCATCCACAACAAAGAAATAAAATCTTTTAAAATTTCCTGGTGCTGCATTATATTAGTAATTAAAAGCTGCCTATCATTACTAACATTGAGCTTGGTTTTCCAATATTGGACACCATGTTGGACACTAATTTGAAAATTATTACTAAGAATGTGTGCCTCCATTCATGGGTTAAAAAGAGAAAAAAGTCATTTACTCAGAGTTCTGAGGCAAAGAAAACTTCTAAGTTTGAAAGAGTTTACTAAAACCATGGATGTAATCTCCTAAATATTGAACATACTTTGCTGGAATCCCGTCAGTCACTTTTATTTATGTTTAACAATATCGCAACCAATTCCCCCAATTGGAAAGCACCCAGGATTTCAGACCCATAAAATAATCTTCCTGAACATTCTTTAGACTGGGGGCTAAGCAAATAACTCTATCAGAGAGAATAAATCAGAGCGAAGAGGAGAGAGTACCAAGACCAAATAAAGAACAGTCCTGACAAAATGCTGGGAGATTTAGTGCCTTGAATCTGGACATGGGAGGGAGGGTGTCTCGACAATCACTTCCCAGTTCTCTTGCCTTTCATTTTTGAGGCTGAATTTCTGTATTTACATTACAATCCTTCATAGTAAGGCAGTGTACTTTTTCATTTTGCTCAAATAAGATATTTAACTGTGCTTTCTGACTGCCTGGCAGAGTTTCTGGAACAAGGAAGGTCCTCATATTTATGACATGAACATAAGGTAATACATAAGGAGTGGGCAGTTATACAAATGTAAATTGGGAAATAGATCTGACTATTATCTCAAGCCTGTGTAGGAAATAATGGTACACAAGGGTACTATAAGGCAATTACACATTAAAATTCATAATTTACATTTTTCACAGGAGACCATGCAAAGACATGTGAAGGCAAAAATGGAAAAATGGCCAAAATGTGTCTTTTGTCACTTTTCCACCCATTGTCCTTCATAACTCTTTCAACACTGAATACATGAGAAACCTCATTGCAGTTTCTTGCCACAGTAGCTCTTCCCAAGAGCTGCACAGCCCTGCGCCCTCCTTCCCCATTCACACAACACTTTCACTTTACCTTTGGGGAGTTCTGTTCAAAGACCTCTTTAGGAAGAATCTAATAAACTCCTTTAGGTGCAAGATGCATGGGTTATTTAACTTGTTAGAAAAGGTGAAGACTTACCTGAAAGACTCAACCTCCTTTCATCCCTTTTTGAAGTAACTGAAGGAACAAACAATAAAAAAAATAAAAAAATTAAGTGACTCTAGGAGAATTTCCAGCAACAGGTAATCAGTGATATGAGCGCCTACACTATTATTCCTTATAGATAACATCCCTCATAGAGATAACCTAGGTGGTCAGATTTTAAGTATTCAATTATATTTTTAAAATATATTGATGCCAAAATAATTCACGAGGCTTATTTATTTCACAGATTGACACGCTAATGATGTGATTAACTTCTGTGAAAGAATTTACAGTTAAGAAATTATGCAGGCAGTCTCATGTAGAGATTGAGAACAGGAGCTTTGAACTGTATTTCAATGGAATCCTATCTCCCCTTACCTATGGGAATTCTTGACCAAGTTTCCTCATCAAGCTTGAGCTTATTCCTATTTCATGGAATAATGAAAATCAGATGAGACCACCACTCTACAGGTCGTAGCACAGTCATTTGATTATTTTATACTATTTCTTTAGGAGCTTTAACATACACCACCATTTCCTATGCTTCAAATAACAAAATAGCATTAAAAGTTTCAAACCCGTTTTCTGGTTAGAACTATGTGAAATAGGATTTGGAGGCACAATCAAATCATTACTTTATCCACTTTATTAGGGCCACTTATTTTCCATGAGAACGTTACTTTGCAGGCGCTGGAGGACTGTTTCCAAGAGCAGGAGCGGCTCAGAGCCCAGGTGCACATGCTCGAGACCCGTGTCAAACAGCAACAGGTCAGGATCGCACAGCTCTTGCATGAGAAGGAAGTCCAGTTCCTAGATAAAGGAGAGGAAAATAACGTCATTGACCTTGGAAGCAAGAGACAATATGCAGGTCAGAATCTATTTTTCTTAAGTGTTTCAATACTTTATATTATTATACAACATGTGCAGTGATGGTGCCAATTGTTTCATCACTTCAGGTTGGATAGCATACAACGGGAAGCATTGTACCAATTTTCATGTCTTCTACCATGTTTTATCCTTTTATCTCTATTGGGGACATTTAATAGCAATATGAAATGCCTGAGAATTTCTGTAGGTTTTTAAGAGAACAAGACAATAGATAGTTTATCTATTGCATATCCATGTGCAAATGGGAGAAATAATTTGTGCACTTTTACAATTGAACTTTGTTTTTGTGTATCTTTTCTTGTCACATTCATAGTTTTCCCTTCTGAAATCCTGATGTGCTTCAGTGTAGTAAGCACTGTAATGAAATAAGAGAGCAGAAAAGGAAAAGGTATCAGAATTAGGTAGGAAAATAAAAAAAAAATGCTTGCATGTCTACATTTCATGATTTGGTAATTTTCCTTTCGATTAGGCCAATGTTTCTCCCTAAAACTCAATGATCTTAAGCTGTCCACACATCATACAACATAATGCATATACCATTATTCCCTCTAGAAAATTGTTCACTTCCTCCAGGCATCTTTTAAAGTAGTCAAACAATAATTGTAAGAAACAACATAAACACAATTAGAGCACCGTGTTCATAGGTCTCCAACTACTGCCATGTTGTATTATAATTTCTCTGTTTATGAGTCTCTCTTGGTTAATTAACTGGGAAATTTGTGAGTTCTGGGACAACGTTTCATGCATTCTTTTTTAAAAAAGATTTATTTAGTTGTGCTTAAAAGAACTGGGGTACAGGCCAGAGGTGGGGGGGGGTGGTGAGAGGATTCACCAGAGACAGAGTGGGGAGCAGAACAGACAGATCCACTGAAATACTCTGCTGAGGGGAGCAGTGGGTGAGACTGGAGAGGTCTGCTGCGCCATGTGGGTCACCTCCCTAGCCAGGGATTGAACTTGTGCTGCAGTAGTTGTGGATCGCTTCATAGTGCTGATGATTAATCCTTTGCGCCACCAGGGAGACACCTTTAATGCATTCTTCCCTTCCTGTTGCCTATCATAATGCCTGGAACAGAGTAGAGCCTCATATTTATGAATGAAAGCAAAGTAGTACATCGAGACAGGAATATCAACATTAGCAAATATAAATCTGGAAATACATATGTAGAAGCCAAAGAGATGCCAAACTCATGAAAATAAAAACATCTTTGTTTTGAGTTTCTAAATATACTCACCAGTGTAGGGTATAAGAATTGTGAGAATCTTAGAACTTAGACTTTAATAAAATGCCCCCTTTTTCTCTTTTTTCCAACATGATAATCTGTTTTTTGTTGAGACTTTTTGCCGTGGGCCTTTGCCGTGGGCCTCTGACTTTGATGTCTAGCAGCTGATCTTTGATCCTTGATCCTTGGAGTCCAGCTACCCTTTCCCCGCTTTTGAATCAGGCATCCAGAGCCACTGGCAAATGAGAATGGAAATGGATACAGGGTGAGGATGGCCTGTGGCTTGGGGCATGGAACAAAGAGAAACTGGGACTGTGTGACCATGGCAGACTGAAGTTTAAGAGCTAAAAATCCCATCTTGCATTGAGAGGATTAGGGAGCAGATTTAAGAAACAAGTGTAACCCAGGAACTAGATAAGAAATCAGTTACTACCAAGTACCAAGTTCAGAGCAGGGATGACTGTATAAGAAGAGTTAAGTAGAAAAGTCATATGGACAGTGTTCAGACAAACTATTATTTTGTTTGTGTGCATGTGCGCATGCGTGTGTGTGTCTTATAACATTAAATAGGTGATGATAGATAGATAAGGCATCCTAGACAACTCTTTCTGGATATAAAAGCTAAAAAAAAATCCAGATATCAGTAGGTCTGTGTTTAATATTTTTCATATATGGTACAAGCATGAAGGAAGAGAAGAAGTGATAAACTATAAGTGCAATTCAAGTGTATTTTATTTTTTCAGCACATAAGCAACTAGTACTAGAGAGCCTACCAAGGGCACACTCAATAAATAAATTATTATTTTGTAATTCTTATAAAATATATAACATATATGTTATATGTGACAATATAATATATATAGCATATATGATAGAAAATATATAAGAACCCATTTGCATCAAAGTTTATGCTTTTGGTGTCCTTAAATTTAAAATGTGAAATAATAATTATGTATATGATCTATAAAAATATAAATTTCTGTGTTCTTATTCGCAAGTTACTATGTTATTACTAAATTAATTATTTTCTTAGTTCTAATTCATCTCATAGAAAACATGCACTTACATAGAAACCAGCAATTTGTACAAACAATGCACAGATCACGCGATTTTTGTACAATATGTAATTAAATGTATCCTTGAAAAAGATTTTGGGTGTTGTTGAATTATGTGCCTAAATAAAAAGATTATAGTACTAAGTTTACATTGTTGGTGACAATTACAAGAGCCTGTGACATTGCAGTATTTGTTCAGTGAACAAGACCACTGGTTCAACCCTGCCCCCTTTTCCAGAAGCCCCAGTCTTTATCAAATAGTTGGTCTTGAGGCATTATGGTAGTTGTTCAAGTGTAGACTCTGAAGTTTATTTTCAAAGTCCAGCTGCCCTTCTTGCTTGCTGTGACCTTTGTGCAAGTTACTTAACTTCTATGTACCTCATATTCCTCATGTGTAAAGTGGAAGTGATAAAAATTCCTGATTCTTTGTTGTAAAGATAAAATGAGTGAATACATGTAACATGATTAAAAAAGCGTTTAGCTCAATGAATATCAGTTACATATATTCAGTATTATACTGTCAGTTACCTGTTGACAATATTACATTGTGAATCTCTGCCTTATTTTCAGAGGAGAGAGCCCACTCACCCCACCCTACAAGAATACTGCACTCTCCATGGAATCGACTTTTTTCTTCTCTTTTCTTCTTAAGTCTCCTGAGGCTGAGGATGGCCATAACAAGACCAGTTCTGGCATTTCCCAGCATGCCCTATGGAGTGGCAGCTGAATTCTTCCGGTCTTTCTTTAAGTTTAGAATGTGGGGTACTCTATCCCTTTTGTTCTCAGTGTTCAGTCTCAGCCACCATTCTGGAATAAATGGAAAAAATCCATTTGGCAGGCTGTCATGTCATTTTACGAAGCTTAAACTTCAGCTTTCCAATATGGCTTGCTTTCTGCAAGCTCATAGAAAGTACTCACCCAGTTTAATACAATGTTTATCAAAGAGAGGGAAGGAAGCCCTGGCTTCACTCTGCTATTATGTAAGTATCCAAAAATCCTTTTTTCTTTTTAACTCCCGTGAACACAGTTTCTTCACCCTGCTTCCGGCCTGCCTTTTCTCCTGGGGATTGAGTAGGTTGAAACATTTCAAAAATCATAGTTTAAATATCAAATTGATATTCTAAATACTACATTGCCTGACTTTCCTGTATCACAATGAAAGTCACATTTCCCCAAGGCAGGCTCCTTAAATTGTTTACTAGAAGCAATTGAGCTACTAATGCTTTTTTGATGCTTAGTTATTTGTTGAGTTGAAAGCTTTCCTCTGGATCTTAAGATGTGTTTTGCATTTCTCTTTGGGAGAAAGGGGAAAAAATGTTAAAATACAACAAACTTGCTGTTGACACACATAAAAATGAATTGAAAATATTGGCTAAAAACTCCCATATTCATGAAGTTTAACAGAGGCAAATGTTTAGCTAATCATTTCCATATATGCCTGGAAGAGTCTACACTTGTGAAACTTTACTGTTTAGCTCTTTGGTAGGAGATTAAATATAAACAAAGAGCTCCTTTCCTAATAAGGTTAAAATCTGTTTAATGAAAAATGTTGTACAACACACTTGACCACAAGTTGTAAGCTTTTGAACAACATTCACCTAATTTTAGACAATCATTTTCCCATTGTTTTTTCTTCTTGTTTAATTTTCAAAACAGGATCTTTTTCAATAACCCAGTATGTATAAAGAATACTTGGGCTTCTGAACCTCAAAAATGAATATACACATAAAACTTAAATCTTTACAAATGATTAGTATCTTACCAAAGTAGTAGTGTATACAAAGGCTGTAAAAAGTGACTAAGATTCTTTCTTTTCTTTTCTCTTCTGATTCCTATAGCCTATTCAATCTATTTAATGTGTAGTATATTTTATTATAATGAAACAGAGCTGTCGATATGTTGGCATCAAAACAATGAAAATGAAGAAAGAACTTAAAAATTTGAGCCAAAAGAATTAATTTATCCAATTTTCAATTAACTTACCCAATTTTTCTCAGGAAGAGAAAAAAATTAAAGGAAGGAAATTAACAAAGTGAAAAGGCAAAATTTATATTTTGTTGATGTTAAATTATAGCATTTTCATTCAAAGGTCTTGAGGCCATTAGTAGTGACCACTATCTGACAACATAACTTCCTGGGCATATAAACAATCGTGAACTCCATAATGTCACATTCTCTAAATCCACACAGAATAATGTAGATGATATTCCATGGATATGAATTCACCCTACCCTCAAGCAGCTCAAGAAACAGCTACTGGGGCCTGCCTGGTGGCACAAGGGGTTAAGCACCGCACTATGAGGAAATCTGCAGCCTCTGCAGCACTATTTCGAACCCTGGCCGGCCAGGGAGGAACCCACATGGTGCAGCAGACCTCTCCTGACTCACCCGCTGCTCCCTTCAGCAGCGTACTTCAGTCAATCTGCCTATTCTGTTCCCCACTCTGTCTCTGGTAGGTTCTCTCACCCCCTACATTTCTGGACTGTACCCCAGCTCTTGTATGCATAAATAAATCTTTAAAAAAAAAAAGAAAAGAAATAGCTACTACTTTTGGGTGACGTTTTGGTAGTTGTGTTTGCTTCTGTGTCCAAAAAATACCTTGGCAAAGGGGAATGGAGGCAAAAAAGAAAAACAGAAACTTGCTTGTTTTTAGCAAAAATATCTAGGAATGCATGAACTATTAGAAATTTCATTGGATTAGAAAAATTCTGATGATACTGGTATGAATCTAAACTGAAGATACTATCTTGAGTTCACTGTATACAATCATTCAGAATGATTTACAATGCTTTTAGTCAGGATAGCCCATATTAAATTATTTGTTCGGTGTTATATTTCTGCTTTCATTTTAGCCTCATAGGAGAAATAAATTTCAATCTTTTTGTCTGACCAAGCTGTAAATTCTCTCTAAATATACTGTAATGAACTGAACACACACACATATATTTTTAATTGGGAGACTGATAAATTTTGTCACAGGGGGCTTTCAAAATTGTTTTCCACAAAAAACCCCCACCACCCAGAAATAAACAACAACAACAACATATTCCTGTTTTATTCCTCTTATTTCCATGATCATTGCAGAGTCAGATGATAAATATTAGGGAAAAAAATAAGAATTTCCTAATATCCACTGGTAGATGTGCAAGATGCAATTTTAAAAGGCTTATTATCTACACCATGTATTTTTGTGTCCATTACTATTGAGTAATCTCATTCAGAGACTCCCTTAAAAAAGAAAGACACATAACAAATGCTACATTACCTCATTTTGCAAACAGATTGTTCAGAAATTTTCAATGATGGATATAAGCGCAGTGGATTTTACAAAATCAAGCCTCTCCAGAGCCCAGCAGAATTTTCTGTTTATTGTGACATGTCTGATGGAGGAGGATGGACTGTAATTCAGAGACGATCTGATGGTAGTGAAAACTTTAATAGGTATGCTGACTGTAATGATATAGGATCTATTTGAGGTAACGAATGTGAGATTTATAATGTTAAACCTTTTTTTATAACTCAAGAAATGAATAATTAGAAAGAATTTCACTTTCTCTAAATAATCCAAAAATGCATGGACTAATCAAGAAAATATTGGAGGTGGGGATGGCAGTAGATGATAAACATCTTGGATACTATAAAGATTCATTTGGATTTTGCTAAAATCTGCTTTCTCTTTAAAACTTTTAGAGGCTGGAATGACTATGAAAATGGTTTTGGAAATTTTGTCCAACCAAATGGTGAATATTGGCTTGGTAATAAAAATCTCCACTTCTTGACAACACAAGGTAAGGTTTGCCTGATATCAAATTCATTTGAGGTACAATAAAACAACACACTTAAATATTTTCCTAACTCATAGTAAGAAAATACTTCAGTTACTCGATTTGCAGGTGGCAGTGATCCCTTTGAGGCAGAAATCCCTTTTGTAGAATGTGGCTGCTAAACACTAGGAAATGTAATATCTTTTTTTTTTTTGTAAAGGAAATGTAATATCTTTTTTTTTTAATTAAATAATAAATTTTATTTTTATATTCCCCCATACAACTGCACATGCCCCATTCTGACCCCAATCCCTCCCCTCCCGGCCCCCACCCCCCAAAAAGTGTCTCTGGTTCATAGTTTTTTGTTGATTTTGATTTTCACTTTCTTATAGTTATTCTTTTTCCTGATCCCTTATTTAAGTTTTCTAGATTCCTGCTATGAGTGAGACCATCCGGTATTTTTCTTTTTCCTTTTGGCTTATTTCGCTGAGCATGATCCCTTCCAGCGCCATCCATGTTGCTGCAAATTGCATGTGTTTATCTTTTTTGAATGCTGAGTAATATTCCATGGTATATATGTACCACATCTTCTTGATCCAGTCATCTATTTTTGGGCATTTGGGCTGTTTCCAAAGCTTAGCTATTGTAAATAGTGCTGCTATAAACATAGGGGTGCAGGTGTTCTTTGGAATGGATGTTTCTGTGTCCTTTGGGTAAATACCTAGGAGTGGAATTGCTGGATCATATGGAAGCTCTATGTTTAGTAGGTCCAGAAATCTCCACACAGCTCTCCATAGTGGTTGGACCAGTTTGCATTCCCACCAACATTGCAGGAGAGTTCCTTTTTCTCCACACCCTCGCCAACATTTGTTGTTGCTAGTTTTTTTAATATGTGCCATTCTCACTGGTGTAAGATGGTATCTCATGGTAGTTTTGATTTGCATTTCCCTGATGACAAGTGATGTTGAACATTTTTTCATATGTCTGTTGGCCATTTGCATTTCCTCTTCAGAGAAGTTTCTTTTTAGCTCTTCTGCCCATTTTTTGACTGGAGTATTTTCTTTGTTGTTGTTGATTTTCATCAGCTCTTTGCAGATTTTTGTGATCAGTCCTTTATCATTAGTGTTGGGTGCAAAAATGTTCTCCCAGTTGGTGGGGTTTCTCTTTGTTTGGTTATTGTCTCTTTTGCTGTGCAGAAGCTCTTTAATTTGATGTAGTCCCAGCTGTTTATCTTTGCCTTCACTATCACTGCTTTGGGTGATGTGTCTGTAAAGATGTCTTTGATATGCAAATCACGTAGTGTTTCACCTATATTTCCTTCTATGTATTTTATGGTTTCAGGTCTTATGTCTAGTTCTTTAATCCAGGAAATGTAATATCTTAATCATACTTTTAAAAAATGCTTTGAGTACTTCAAGGTTATATACCACATCAGTTATATAGTGTCATGATAATTTTGTGCAACAAGTCACTTCAAAACTTAGTAGTTTAGAACAACAACCATTCATTATTTTTCACAGTCTGTGTGTTGGCGGGACAGTTTTGCTGATCAGGGCTGGGTCCTGCTGATCTTGGCTGGGCTTGTTCATGGTTCTATGATCAACTTCCTGGTAAGCTAGAGGTTGGCATTTCTAAGTTGACCTTTGTCCATGTGGTCTCTCATCTCCAGTGAGCTAGCCTGGCCGTGTTCTTGTAGCACAGGCAGAGGTCCAAGAAAGAGGGTGTAAGCACATGAGTCTTAAGAGATTTAGACTCAGAACTAGTACAGTCACTGTCACTGCCTTCTGCTGGAGAAAGCAAGTTGCATGGCCAGCTCAGCTATCAAGGGAAAGGAATAGACCCAATGGGAAGAGTTACAAAGTGGCATTGCAAAAGGAGGGGTGAAGAATCAGGGACTTGCTATCAAACACCATAGTATACTAAACGCTATTTCCATTCTCTTCAATTTTTATTTTGAAAAATTTCAGAGTTACAGCAAAGCCGGAAGTTTCAGCCTGCTACCTAAATTTTATACTGACATTTTATTGTTTTTTTAATCATATATCTATCCATCAATCAATTCATTTTATTATTTTGACACACTTCAAAGTAAATTGCATACATCTATACAAATTGCACAAATCTATATCTTCACATATATTTTTGCTGAGATATCTTTAAAGTTCAATATTTGTATAAAATATCAACAGTTTGATAATAAATTTCTAAGCTTCTCTTTCCCATATTCTTTTGCTCCAATCTGTTGCCTTTCTTACCTCAGTGGTAGTCTGAGAGTATAGTTAGTCCCATACAGGTCTGATTCTGAATGTTTCATGAAAAACAATTGTCTTGTTCAAGAAAGCATGGTAAATCACACTGACAATGCATTAAATGTAAAAGCAAGAGTTTACTTGCTCCATCCAAGTTAAGTGATTGGTGCTTCTGTATTCATAATGATGAGTAGGATTATAGTTAAGAGGGATCTTTGAGACCTCAGATTCATAGCTACAGGACAGATAATCCTAGAATCCTGATTCTTTCTTTGTCCTTCTTGTGATAAGTGCTCTCTAAATTTATATAAGATTTCCATTTCGTCAGTGTGCTTATTATCCTATTTTAGTGTTTAATGATATTAAACACTTATTATACCAGTTTTTGTTTCATTCAAACATTAATATTTTATCTGGCTTCTTATTGAAACAAAAAGCCCCCAGAAGAAAACCTTGGTTTCTTCTCAATATACAAAATTTAAATGTATTGTTTTTCAAATTATTATTAAATCCTATTTATCCAGATGCACTTTGCTAACACATTTGCTGCTACTTCATGTTTGGTTGGTATTAAGACTGGCTATTTTCATGGCAGCAAAAATATATTTATCATTTCCAGACTTCACAACCATATTTCACATCTTCCCAAGGAAAAAGAGTGGCTTTGTCTCTGTGTTGTTTAATTATGGGTAGGGAATTAATTGCCTCTGAAAATAGGCTATACCCATCCTATAAATTTCAACCAGAAATGTTTGCAATAAAACTAATTTTGAAATAGTCTGTAATTGCATTTTTATATACTTATTGACCAAACAGATATTTAACTGACTGCCTAAGAAATTGAGACTGGCTTTTTAATCTCTTATAATACAAAGACTACTTAAGAGAGCTAACTTAGCCTGCCTTGCTGCTCCCATCCACTTCACAGTCTTAGCTCACAAACTCTTAGGTCCTTTCAAGTAAAGTTCAAGTTAGAGGGGCTTCTTCCTTCAGACTCCATTTAGAGAACCCTATGGCATGAGGAGTCTGTGTGTCCACAGGAACCCCTCCTGGACTTGCTCCAGGGAAAGTCAAACATGCCCTGCTAGAACAGCACTGCACGTGTTTCCTTAGAAACACCTCCTCATACACCCCATTCATCTCTCATCTTTGTCCCCCTTGGGATGATTTTATTACTGGCGTGTGCACCCTAAGTTTGAAGGGAAGTGAAGGAAGAGCTCGTGTTGTGGGTATCACAGAATTTGGATGTGCAGCCTTAATGTCTTCAAAGATCCTTGCTGTGCTGATAGAGGTGGGCCTGGAAAGAGTAAAAGGGGGCTGACCTCAGACCAGGCTGGTGTGAAGGGGCCATGGACTTTCTATCCCTGGGCCTCTGTGTTCTAACTGGCTACCCTGAGGAGTCTTACCCTGAGGAGTCTTACCCTGAGGAGGTCTTACCCTGAGGAGTGTAAGACCTGGTTTTGTGGGTCATTGTGAAATTTCATTTATCAAAGTAGGAGAATAGAACATATGTTATCTGTTTGATTTATAACTTTCTATGTCCCTGATAATCTTTCTGTTTCTGAAAAAGGAATAGTCTTTGTTACTTGCCAATGATGAGGCAATGGGAGAAAGATTATCAGTTGAAGATGCCAACTATTTAAGTCATTATTTAAAGGTCAACATTCTTTCCAAAATTAAGAAAAAGCGAATAAACTTCTGAAATTATTAAAACATTTATAGTTTTATTCCTTCACTGTTAGATTTCTCTATTAACTAAAGACTTACTTTCTGTTGTTCTTTGCCAAGTAAATTACACTAGCTTTTATCTATGATGAATCTACAAGTTTTCTACCTAATTTATGTCCCTAATGTTTTTCAAGTAACATACACAATAAAACATTCATGTTGTAAATACAGTGCAGTCCCTGTTTATTCTTTGAAAGCTGACTCATGGCAAAAGAAAGTAGGCTAAGTGAGATAAGGCCATGAACTGTTTTCAATCTTCAATAAGTCAATATCATGTCACATATTTAAAACATTACAATTTCTTTTTTTTTTTTCAGGTGACTACACTTTAAAAATTGACCTTTCAGATTTTGAAAAAAACAGTCGTTATGCACAATACAAAAATTTCAAAGTTGGAAATGAAAAGGTACTGAAAAGTTCATATATGTAACACTATGAAAGAATGCATAAAACATGTAATGTAAATCCTGAAGTCAGCGGAATCAAAACTATACAATAGGATGTGGGGTTGTTTTGTTTATTAGTATTTTATGATGTTATGAACTTTTTAAAAACAGTGACTTCTGATTGAACTTGCCTCTTTTCCTTTAGAATTCCTATGAGTTGGATATAGGGGAATACTCTGGAACAGCTGGAGATGCCTTTACAGGGAATTTTAACCCTGAGGTGCAATGGTGGGGGAGTCACCAGAGAATGAAATTCAGCACATGGGACAGAGATAATGACAACTATGAAGGGAACTGTGCAGAAGAAGATCAGTCTGGCTGGTGGTTTAACAGGTTTGATGTTTAATGAACGTAGTTGTAATGGTGTTGATGATATCTCACTGGTGTGCATTAATTATAATGTATGAGGCATTGTTGGTCTTCTTTGTAACTCTGGCATTATTAACTAATCATCCTTATTAGAATTCTTCAGTGATGAAGTATATTTAAGGATTTGTTCACTGTGTACATTAATAAATCTTGAAAGATATGTCATAGAAATAAATCAAATTACTACTTTTAAAATTTATTTTTATTTATTAATTCCTACAGAGGTGCAGGGGTTGGGGGGTGAGAGGATTCACCAGAGATAGAGTGGGGAGCAGCACAGGTGGATCTACTGAAATACACTGTGAGCAGTGAGCAAGACAGGAGAGGTCTGCTGTGCCATGTGGGTTAGCTCAAACTCATGCTGCAGTGGCTGGTGATAGCTTGACAGTTCTGAGACTTAACCCCTTGCACCACCAGGGAGGCCCCAAATTACTACTTTTATGAAGATTGTTTACAAATTGAATTATGGGTGATTTATCAAAAATAGTTGGCCACGGGGCCTCCCTGGTGGTGCAAGGGTTAAGACACAACCTATGAAGCTATCTGCAGCCACTGAAACATGAGTTCAATCCCCAGCCAGGGAGATACCCACATGGCACAGCAGACCTCTCCTGATTCGCCCACTGTTCCCCTCAGCAGTGTATTTCAGTCTATCTGCCTGTTCTGTTCCCCACTCTGTCTCTGGTAAATCCTCTAACCCCCCTCCATGCTTCTGGCCTGTACCCCAGTTCTTGTATGCATAAATAAATAAATCTTTTAAAAAAAATTTGACCATGAATAAACACAAAGAAATTGAGAATGTTTTTATATAGAAAAAATATTTTCTATGCAATGCTACTTTTTAATCACTGCAACTTTCACTAGATCATTGAATCCAAGCTCCTTCCAATGTAGAAATTTCATCTCCAATATTCCTGAAGCCTAATTTCACCCTCTGATTTACTACTTCGTTGTTACTTTATCAGCAAGCTCATTCCACTATTTTTTTTTCCTTTTATTAACCTGAAATCTGCCTTCTCATGCCTCACTGGATTGAAATTCCTTTTCAGCTTAACTCGATAAGTAGATGAGAAGATTTTTACCGTATTCCTCAGTATTTTCTCTTCTCTAGGCCAGATATTCCTGATTGCTTTAACTATTTCCCACCCAAGATGGTTTCCAGACAGTTCCCCTGTAATCACAGATTTAGGGGAGAAATAGAAACTTCTTTTATTTTTTTTTTAAAGATTTATTTATTTATACAAGCACTGGGTACAGTCAGAGGCGCGGGAGGGTGAGAGAAGTCACCAGAGCCAGAGCGGGGAGCAGAGCAGGCAGAAGGACCGAAGTACACTGCTGAGGGGAGCAGCGGGCGGCAGGAGAGGTCTGCGCGCCATGTGGGACCCACCTCCTGTGGCCCGGGAGCAGCTGGGGATCGAACCGGTGCTGCAGAGGCTACGGGAAGCTTCGCAAACCAGCACTTAACCGCTGCGCCACCGGGGAGCCTCCCCGCCCACCTTCACCCCCCCTCACCCCCCCCCCCCCCCCCCGAAATAGAAACTTCGTCTCTTAAAAATAACCCGGTGGGCCCGTTGTGCTGCAAAACGGATGTGTCCCAATCGTTTGGCAATGCGTGAATTTAGAATGTTTTCTCTTTAGAAGGCAGAAGCCACCTCAAAATATCTGAATATTTAACTGTTCGTTATAGGAATTTTAGTAAGGGAGTATTTCTGGAGTTTCGGATTTTCCATGTTGAGGACTATCCACTTAAATCCCAAAATCTAAATTTTAACATTTTGGTTATGTCCATTCTTTTAAAGCATAGAATCTTCTACCTTATTAAGTGGAAATATACTAGGTTAATTTTCCTTAATATCATGAGGGTTCTTATTATGAACATCAGTTATTGTGTTATACTGATTTTAGAGTTGTAGATCCTGTGGAAAAACAGCTAGCTGTAGTTAGTATTGTGTGTCATGTTGAATCCAAGTAGTTAGAAGAATAGTGTTTTCGCTGGATTTTGTTTGAGTCCACTTAATTTTAGTCATTTATAAAAGAACTAGAGCACATACAATGGTGGGAAGGGACAGAGAAACAGTTATTTTTCCTACTTGGTAAATCAAAGCTGACCACAATCCTTTCACTAGTAGTTTTCTTGCTGTTTTAAAGCCATCTTCATCACCTTCTCTTCCTCCTCCTTTTTCTCCCCATCCAAGTTAGCGCTATGAAAAAATCATGAGCATTATGTAAATCTTAATTGTCATTCTCAAAATTGCATTAGCCCTCAATGTTTGATTTTAAACAGTTCTATATACAGAAATAACAATCACATTGGTTCATATTACCACGAGATCAAAACCACATACTTATGCATTGATTGGCTTGCATTGTGCCCGAGTGACAGCTGGCATACATGTTAACCTGGGCAAGTAAATGATTTACTTGATTTTAAAGACTGGGATTCAGGGAGGACAAAAAAAAGTAGTTCAGTAGCTAGAGTCACTCGAAGAGCCTGCATTAACTTTAGTGTCAAAGGAGATGATAAAGCTCTGCAGGTGGAAAATTGGGAAAGCTAGAAAAAAAAGTAAATTGTTCCAGAAGCTTGGTGCCACTGTAGTGTAACTCTAGCATCCTATTCCTCCTCTTTACTTTTTCCTTTCCCATAGTTCTTCTAATTTACATGGAATGTTGTCACTTCATAAATATCCACCTATAAGATGTTCTCTGCATCTTAGCAAACTAATCCACAATCTCTCTTCTTTCTTGGTACTTTGATTATGTGAGTGCTCTCAGCTGCTTCCTCACCAAGGGCACCTTAGCTGTCCCCCAATCTAGTTTCAGGTTCAGATTATTTTAGAAACTAAAGGATGCTGGAAAATCGCCCTCAATAGCTAAGATTTCTTATGTTCACTGTAAAGACAGTTTCCTTTTGGGATTCAAATCACAGACCAAATGAAAAAGTATGTGGAAAACCATTTTTGTGTCATTTTAAGAATCTTCTGTTAGAATTCTATTGGAAACACTAACATAAATGTTGTGTTCAATGAAACAAACAAATATAGGTAGTAGATGTCTTCAGGAAGATAGATATGCCAAAATGTATATTCTGGAAGCTCAATTTAGAGTTCCTTCTTTTTGACATTACTTTCTACACAGTTTTTAAAACACAGTATGCTCTTTACATTTGCAGATTTATTACATTCACTTAAGGTAGGGCTGTCAGGATGGTTAGTGGGAGTCAATCACTAAGCCGATAAGTGAACCTAATTACTTACTCAGCATTTGTAGGTAAATTATATGCTTTTTTGATAATTTGATAATCTGATTTCCTCAGATTTTCAGAACTATCCTATGTGAAAATTCTCTCTTTCATCTCTTCATTGGTTATATCAATAAAGAATTGTAAAGTTACTAATTTTATCACACTACAAATGAAAATTTTCGCCCACTCTTGCCTGTAGTTTACCCCTATCAGGGACAAATTTTTACAAATCCCAAAGAAAGAGAGAAGACATTTTTTAAAGTTGATGATAACCTAACCAATCTACCTAGATTGGAGTAATTATGTAAAAGATTAACTCAGACACATGATTCTTGGTTGATGGCTGGGAAAACTTTAAGTACTAGTTTAGGTATTGTTTCCTTATCCTTGAGGTTAAAATAATTGATATGCTTGCCATTTTAAAAGGGGGTGGAAGAGTTTGAATTGCAAAATCTGTATCTTGGCAGCAGAAGGAGGAAAATAGAAGTGAAAATTATCCATGGGAATAGGCAGTAAAGTACAAGGCTACACCTTGCTTTTTAACCCTTACCACTCTTGCTAAAACTAAAGGTTACAAGGTCGTATTTTTGTATGCTTATTTTTCTTTTCTTTTTTGTTAACAAAACAGAAATGTTTCTTTTCCCATATACTATACTACAAATGGCCTGTGTCATATCATGAGAAGTGTTAGGGCACTAAACCCCACCAAATTAAAAAGCCCATCTGTCAGTTCTTCCCGGTGGCCTAGGGGGTAAGTCTCAGTGCTGTCACCTCTAAGGCCTAGTTTGATCCCCAGCCAGGGAGCTAACCCACATATGGTGCAGCAGACCTCTTGCCTATTGCTCCCCTTTACAGTGTATTTCAGTAGATCCACGTATTCTGCTCCCCACTCTGTCTCTGGTGAATTCTTATCCTCCCACCACTGGCCTACACCCCAGTTCTTCTATGCATAAATAAATCTTAATGGGCCTCCCTGGTGGTGCAAGGGGTTAAGCATCGCACTATGAAGCAATCTGCAGCCTCTGCAGCACAAGTTCAATCCTCTGCTGGCCAGGGAGCAATCCACATGGCAAAGCAGACCTCTCCTGTCTTTCCTGCTGCTCCCCTCAGCAGTGTATTTCAGTCAGTCTGCCTGTTGTGTTCCCCACCCTGTCTCTGGTGAACCCTCTCACCCCCTGCATCTCTGGCCTGTACCCCAGCTCTTGTATACATAAATAAATCTTTAAAAAAAAACAAAAACCCATCTTTTGGTTTTTGGAAGTTGACAAAATTCCACTGACTAAAAATGGCAGAATTCATGGGCTGATTTTTTATCATTTGCTAGCAAAATAATAGGTTTTCAGAAGGATGTTTTTCTTGTCTGACTGTTCTGCATTTATTTTTCCTCCCACTAGGTGTCACTCTGCAAACCTCAATGGTTTATACTACACAGGTGCCTACAAAGCTACCACCGACAATGGCATTGTCTGGCACACCTGGCTTGGATGGTGGTATTCTCTGAAATCTGTCATTATGAAAATTAGGCCAAATGATTTTATTCCAAATATTGTTTAATTGTACCTGTTGGGCTTCCATTTATGCAGTTCACCTTGGTTTAAATTAATATGAAACAAACTATTCTGAATACATAAATGTATAATGGTGACAATTGTTATGTGGACTACTTTTCATTCTTATTTACCTTTATTACTTAAAGTACTTTCAAGACAGAAAATATGTGATAGTCACCAAATACATGTAAATTTTGTTAGTATTAGTAAATTCTTATGTGCAAGAAGCAATGAGAACAGCTTTTGTTGGACAGAAAATAAAAAACATAGGATATACCATGTCTTGGGAGATAACACAAGCATAAATGAACAATAAATTAAATACTAGTGCAGTTGAAAAGTCCAGCAAATAATAGATTGCCAAATCAATTATATATACAAAAAGTATTATGAATTGGCATTTGAACTCAGGTCTCTGAATACAGAGTCAGAAATCTTAAATACAACCCAGGACCTTAATCACTAAAAACCACTCTCATATTTTCAGGATGTGGGTTATACATTTCTTTCAGAAGCCTTAATTCTTTTACCAAATATGTGAAGTATTAACAGAGCTTAGCATTTGTGGTTCTGAGACTTTGTGACTGCTCAAAATTACAGAACTTTTAAGTAGGGGAACAAGGACTCAAATCCTAGTCTTCTGATTCTAAGTAAGGTATTTTGCTATCCTGTTACAGCTTCTTCTGGATAGAATGTGGATAGGTGGTGTTGGGTAAGGAAAAATGTCAGGCTTTTCTGCCCTCCCGCCATCAGGATAGATGATGGATCCTCGCGGTCCTGAATGCATGCCTGATGGCGCGCACCTGGAGTAGGGTGTGGGCAGAGGTAGATGGGATTCACCTGAGCTGAGACTGGGCTTTTATGGGCGGCGTCATGGGGACGCCAGCAGAAGCTGAAAGAGAAGCTGAGAAAGAAGTAGCAGAAGCCGAGAGAGAAGCAAAGAAGGCCAGAGAGCCCAGATAGAGTGAAGACTTGTTGGGGGCTGGGAGGCCTGCCAGCCTCCCGGCCCCCCAGCACCCCTGCCTGCTGTGTACCAGGTAAATCCCAATAAAAGACCTGCAAAAACCACTGAGGGCTCTGACTCCTCCTTTACCCAGTCTGCATGGGATCAGAAAACCTGCCCTGTGGCCATTCCTGCCCCCACAGGTGGGGTGGAGGAAGAGAACCTCTCAAGTGAGAGTAAAAACTTCAGTAAAAGCAAGATATTCCAAATATATCTGAGTGCCAACTAAGTGTCACACCACACAACTCAAGCCCACATAAAGCTCGGGTTTGTTTTTTTTATTTTAAATAAAGACGTATACTAGCCATAAAATTATAAGCATGTAAATAATTTTAAAATTTGATGAGCATGAAGGGAAAACATGTGCCTAGTGAGTATAGCAGGGCACCTGACTTAACTGCTGGGGAGGTTCAGAAAAACTTCCTGGAAGAACCAACTGCTGAGCTGAAATCTTTTAACTCGGAATATGTGGGGAGATCACTGCAGGCAAGAGGGTAATCTGTCTGTAAAGTGCACTGAACAGGAAAGCGCATGAAAAAAAAAAAAGACCAAACTCTATGGGGACTACACCTGAGAGGGTAGGGGGAACCAAATATTGTTTAAAAATGAACAATGAGGTAAAAAAAAAATCAATTGAAAAAAAGGCCAGAGAGGTAGTATAGATTTAGGTGATCCTTAGATCCTTAAACCAATAGTTACCCACCAACAGTGCATGAGGGTCTACTTAAAATCTGTGTGACTTTGCCTGGCTGCTTAATTTCTCTGAGCCTAGGCTATTTCATATGCAAAGTGGAGATTAAAATACAGGTATCCCAGCTTTTCAAAAGTTTGCGTTATACCACTTTGCCTTTGTGAAAGATCTACATTGGTACCTGTTTTTGCTAGGTGAAAGAATTCTGAAGAGGATTTTCCTTTTATGACAATGTTCAGCATCTGTTTTACAGCAGCTGTTCTAGAGGCATCTCACACCCTGAGCATTGTAGTGGCCCTGCCGAGCTCTTTTCCCAGTTGTGTATATATCATTTCATCCCCACTTTTACTGTATGTGGGTGTTATTTTAGGTTCTGTGTGTTATTTGGTATGACTTGGTATGTTGTTTTATGGGGCTAGAAATCCTCAAAAATTTTTCCATAAAAATTAATAGTAATTGGGGCCTCCCTGGTGGCCTAGGAGTAAAGGCTCAGTGCTATCACCATTAGTGCCTGAGTTCAGTCAATCCCCAGCCAGGGAGATAACCCACATATGGCACAGCAGACCTATCCTATGTCACCTGCTGCTCCCCTTAGCAGTGGATTTCAGTAGAATTCACCTGTCCCGCTCCCCACTCTGTTTCTGGTGAATCCTCTAGCCCCCTGCACCTCTGGCCTATACCCCAGTTCTACGCAAAAAAAAAAAAAAAAAAAAACAATTGCTTCTTTGCTTTGTGCCATTTCAGCTTTTATTAAAAAAAGGTTTCATAGGAATGTTCTGATTTCAGATAGTGGGGGGCAACCCCGCCTCCCAGGATTGCATTGAGGATTACACAAGTACTTAGAAAAAGGCCTTGCACAAAGTAAGTGGTCAGTGAGAACTAGCTGTGATTATGAGTTAAGGAGGCATTAAGGAACAATAATAATAGATGTCTTTAAAATAATGGGTTACTCAAAGATGTTAAAGTTAGTTGTAATTTATCCTTTAACCATTGTTTTCCAAAGCAGGGCTCTCATAATGTCATATAAATCACCTGGGGATATTGTTAAACAGATTCTGGTTCTGAATTGGGTCAAAGAGCTTGGTTTTCTAATAAATTTCAGGTGATTCTCATGTTGCTGGTCTAGGATACACTTTGAAAAGCAAGGATGTAGGGAACCATAACTGCTAGTACTGTCAATAATAAATGTAGGAAGAAAAGGGCTCCTTGCACAATTTATTAATAGTTTAGGAAATTATCTATTAAGCAAAATTAAACAGATTTTTTCTGTTTAGTATTTCTCAATTCCTTTAAGATATTAATATGTATTCTGAAGTTCCAAAAGGAACATATAGTATGTCACATTTTTGAATTCTAGTTGGAAGCACACGCAGCTGCAAGGTATAAATCACCTGATTGTGAAAGTCCAAACAAATAGGGATTTATTCATTTTATGTAACAAGAACTCAGGAGGTAGGAGGTAAGAGGTTGCTGGCTGAGGTTCAGTGCTCTGTAGTGTGGAAGCTGATATCTCTGCAATTCACTTGCCCTTCCTTCAAAATCACAAGTTGTCTGCTGGAGTTCCTGTTTCAAGTCTGAGGTAAAACCAAGAAAAATGGTGAAAGGTCAAGAGATATCAGTTTGTTTATTAGTCAGAATTGTGTCATATGTTCATTCCATATGGCAGTATGATCATAAAAGAAAATATTTAACTTTATAGCGTCTATAGAATGTGCAGGCAAGTATTTTTCATGATTCCTGAAAGTTTGTTTTTAAATGCAGTTTCATGGGAACAGTGTTCCATAGATCACACTTTAGAAAGCTATAAATAATGGGGCACCACTGACAATTTTAAATACAGGTATTATTTTCTCAAGTAGTAGCCTGAAGAACTCATACAATTAGAAGATCAAAAGAAAAAAGCTTTTAATAGAGAGGAAAAAATGATTCCAAGAAGTGGGAGGGGAGCTAAACAAGTATAGTATTACATAAATCTCAGCATAATGGCTTTTCAAGACAGAAAAAATGAAACAAAAAAATTTAAATGTCACCAAAAGATGGAAGAGAAAGCATTTTAATGAAAGACCATTGAATTTAGTGATAACATTATTTGTGTTCTTAACTCCATTTCAGTGAATAGTGGGAAGAATAGCCCAAGGTCAATAAATAAAAGCAGAATAGATCACTTAAGGAGTTCAGATGTGAAAGAGGGAAAACATACTGGTTTATCTGAAGCTAAAATATTGAAGTAAACACATTCTAAAATAAATTCCTCTGAAATTTCATCATGATAAAGTTCAAAGGCTTATCACTTTCTAAAAATGTGAATGTACGTTTGACGTATACCACTTTTACTTTATAGTCAACAAACATGAATGCTTTTTTCTTTTTTTTAAATGGAGAAAGGATAAAATGCAAGAATGTTGACTCCCTGACATGGACAAAAGTGTTTTCACCAAGAGACAAAAAGTATTTTTGTGAAGTTCTACCTTCTCATATTTGTCCAAGACCTACAATTTCAAATAGACAAGCTATAGCCATAGAGCCCAAAAATCTATCATTTGACCAATACAAAACTTGCTGGGGAGAAAGACAAGTCAACACATACACTATACGCACTTGTTCTACATCAAGTGATAAACAAGATGGTCTACTGTTTAGCTGTTGCCTAAGAAGATTAGTCAGACTGTTTGGGGGTTACATTTTATCTTTGTCATTTTTAAGGTGGCAAATTACATCTCTGTGCGAAGTGTTCTCATCTCTAAAATATGAATAATGTAGTTACCACACAATAGTGTGGTCAATATTAAATGAGATAGCATGGTGCTTGGTACATATTAAGTGCTGTAAATATTTATAATGCTGCTGCTGTTGCTGCTGCTACTGCTGCTGCTGCTGCTGATGCTAATGGAGAAGAGGAAGATAAAAAATGCTTGTGGTCATGATGAATTGGCGTGCTGTGTGACCTTTTACCAAACGTTGAAGGTGTGAGAAGAGAGGAGATTTTCAGTTTTCCAAAAACTGAAAGATAGCCTATAAAACAAATTATGAGTCTGGGTAAACTTGATCTTTTTTAAGAACTCAACAGTCCAGGTTCTTAATAGTTCTGGAATTTAAAATACTTAAAAATGAGAAGTTGGGTCTCTAAATTGCTCTCAGAGAACTTTCAATTCTGCCATGTATATCAGCTCAGTTTTTACCTATTTTATGTGTTTGGGTTCTACATAACACTTGGGAGGGGGAGAGGAGGTTATTGTTTGCTTAGAATAAAGGAAAGCTTTTTATCTCTAAAGGAAGATTAGGGCCTGTCTTCCTTATATACATCAAGACATGTTCTGCATTTTTTTCAGACTACAGATATTTCCGGGGAAGAACTTCTTTACTCTCTGACTCAGGTGAATTAATAGGCATTATAAACCCCAGGCTGTACCCTGTATTCTTTTTTTTTTTTTTTTCAAAGATTTATTTTTATTTATACAAGCACTGGGTACAGTCAGAGCATGAGAGGGTGAGAGAATCCACCAGAG